TAACATAATAATAACAACACAACACAGTCCTAGGAGGAAAAATCCATGGACTCTGGAACATCTGTTCTGGTTATCTGAGAAAAGAGGCTTTGTACTTTATTTGTATGCAACTGGTTCCTCTGAGGAGTTGCAAATTCCTGAAGCTACTGAATAGGCAACTTCTGTATATTTCTGTATATAGTAAAGTACTATACCGTAGAATACAATTATTGTAATAGGAGTTCAAACAAATTAATGTAGGCTAGAGTTATTAAAAAATAACTAGGGACTTGACCTGAGACTGGAAAGATGATCATCATTTGGATTAGGGAAGAAAAGGGGAAAAATGTAAAAAGTAAGAGAGAGATAACATGAGGTCTATACTTTAAGAACTATTAAGTTCTATACCTTAAGAACTATACCTTAAGAACTATACTATACCTTAAGAACTATTAATTTGAAACACAGGAACATAGAGAATATTATATACAAAAAAAGCCACTGTAACAAGATTAATCTGGTGGTGAAAAACATGACAGAGTAGTAAAAATACTATAGATGGGACAGTAAGTCAGACATGGTTAATAACACCTTGAACTTGAATAGGTGTAATAGAAATAAACAGGAAAGAACAAATCTAAGACACAAGATTTAGGTCTTCTGAATTTCATCTCCCTTAAAATGACAATCCCACTTCTCTTGTTGCTTTAATACACACAAGAGATTATTGTAAGAATAAAATGATTCTTTTTATATTAATATACGAGCATACGAGCATACACACTCCCTCTAAATATTAATAGTTAAAACCACTCTATAATCCCTGTCATAATTTACTAAACGGGGCGGAAGAATAGTAAGAGTCAGAAATGACTACCAAGTTTCAAGCGTAGGAGAAATGGGGTGTCAGCAACAAACAGAAAAAAGTGAAATAATGAAAAATAAATATGGTAAAAGATGATCACTTGGCTTTTTTATTTAATGATTGGACATTAGACTAAAGAACTTTTCAAATGAATAATTTAAATGTAAGTTATTAAATATTCAAATGTAAGAAAATGTATACAATTGTATATTAATATGATCTTAGTGATATCAAAGATACAAACACAGAAACACTATGATATGATTATGATTTTTGTACTATTTCTGTATCTTTCAGAAGTCAGCAATAACTGTTTCATTGAAAAAAACTAATAGCATACAAACACAAAAGATTCCTTATTTCTTTTCACAGAAAATTTTAAGAAAATACATACAAACTTACTCTGCTAAGATCTGGAACAATACCCTTCAAATTTTCTACCTTTTCTTTCTCAATTCTCCAAGTGCTAGAGGAAAATGGTAAGACACCATCTATATGCCTTCTACTATCTCCAGTATCTATAGAATTATCTGAAAAATAAAGAAAAAAAGATAATGAAGCAATGTCAAAGTCTGAGCAATCTAATGCAATAACTGCTTCCTGATAGTCAAATTATTTTATGTAAACCTAAAATAAACATAAAATAGGTCATAAAATAACCTATTGTATGACAAATTCAGCAATTTGCATATGAGAAAATAAGCAACAGTAAGAGGCAATAATAAACATGACAAACTGCTATCACACAGAGAGAATTCATAGGGCTAGCATGGTGGCTCACACCTGTAATCTCGGCATGTTGGGAGGCCGAAGCAGAGGATTGCTTAAGGCCAGGAGTTTGAGACCAGCCCAGGCAACATAGCGAGACCCTGTCTCTACAAAAACTTTTTTAAAAATTAGTCGGGCATGGTGGTGCATGTCTGAAGTCCTAGCTACTTGGAAGGCTGAGGTGGGAGGACTGCTTGAGCCTAGGAGTTGGAGGTAGCAGCGAGCCATGATCACACTGCTGCACTCCAGGCTGGACAAAAGAGAGAGATCCTGTCTCTAAAAAAACAATTAAAATAAATAAAATACACTTGATCTTAGCCAAAAGGTTGAGAAGCAATAAAATAAATACATGGAATCCAAGAGAATTCATACCTAATTCTTAATGTCTGAAGATAATATAATCATTCATAATATTTAATCCGAGAAATTAACATTACAGTATTTCTAATAACACCAATTTACTTAGATATTATTAAAAGTTCTTTAGAAAAATTCTAGACCATGAAGATTTGACGGGAGAAAAAGGTTAACATATGCTAAATAATACTAAAGAAATAATTTTTTTTAAAAAAGGTAAAGTCAATCATAGAATTTAAAAACAAGGGAATATTTCAATACCTACCAGCCTCAGGTAGACAGACAACTTGGCTTTCCTCAGAATCTTTGTGAGTCATTTCAGAAGCTCCCGAAGAGTGTGAGCCATGGGAAATCAGACAGCTGTTATTTTCTGACTGAAATTTACAGTTTAAGCTACTATTTTCATTTGCCTGTTCAAAGAATATCTTAGCTGTATTAATCTTTAAAATTAAAATTAAACATTCTGAGGGGGAAAACAAGGGGTGCAGACAATGCCCGCTTTACTGAAGGATGCCAGGTAATAAATGTA